TGGTCTGAAATTCTAAGAAAATGTGTATTATGATAGGAAAATTGTTAGTTTAGGTTTTAAAAAGGAATATCTGTGCTTATACAGCTGTATACAGATGGAATACTAAGCCATTTCACTAAATTATAAGCTCTAATATCATCTGAAAAAAATCCATAAAATTATTAAACAATTATATTCCAATGTATTGCAAGTTTGCTATGAAAAAAAGTAAAGTTTATTATGATTTTAGTCAAATTTAATACAAATCTAAAAGCTCAATATAATAAGCTTAATCTGTATACATATTTTACCATAAAATACTCATTTCATTTAATAGATCTTTCATGATTCAAGTGGCATGAAAAATATTATAAATATTAAAGGTTCTTTGTTTTGAAAATCTTTTAGATGTTGGCCTAAAATTAATATACATTAATTAAATTTTAAGAAACATATTTAACTAAATTAAAACACAAGCATAAGTGAAAGTTGCAGGCTTGGTTCCTAATTACGAAGTTTGCCCGTAAAGATTAAGAGAACTAGGGTATTAATACAAAAAAAATTAACAAAACTAACAAAAAAGTAGTAGTTATACAAAAAAGCGTATATATTTAATCTTTATATAAAATAAAATAAAATTTTTATCAAAAAACCAACATCTACACCCAAAAAATCAGACCCAAATAGGCCCAATTGATTACCTTTCCAAAAAAGCGAGAAAGTGAAGACAAAGACTACGGTAGAAAGCCAAGCCAGCTGCCAAGGCTAAAAGCGCCAAAAACCTGCAAAACCTGAAAAAGCAAACGCATTAAAAGCAACTTAATAATTCAGATCGAAATCACCAATCAGCGTTGCCGACATGTTGACAAACGATGCCGCCGCCGCCATAGCTGGAGAACAACACCAAGAAAAGCCAGGGAAACTCCTAGCGGGAAACTCCATCGACAAAGACAGCAATAGCCCAGAGAGAGAGTAAGAGATAGAGGCAAAGACTGGAGATACGAGGACGACAAGAGATTTACATTTTCAAAATCGAATGGCGGCATAAGCCACCGCAAAGCAAAAGACACGCAAACCAGCAAGCCACACAGCCATAATGAAATCCTCGATAAACAAGATAAACGAACAGAAAAAGCCATAAGATTAAGAACAACGAATGATCAGATACTCTTTTTAGAAAATAGGCTTTATACTTGTATTTCATATTTGTTTAACATGGTTACACTAAGAACACTTTCCAAAAAAAATAACTCCCAAAAACTCAAAAATATCCAATACTTTTTCATTCATAAAACATTTCTTCATAATCTTTTTGCAGAAAGTGATTCTATTGATATTCCAATAAAGAAAAGATATTCAAATAAATTAGATAAGAAGAATTCTTCTTTAAGAATTTAGAATATTTTTCAAGATATTCCCTTTAAAACCCAATATTTGCTTGAAAAATTTACTCCAAATCCCAATAATTTCCTATAATGTCATATATTCGTAACTGCCTTAAACTTAAGCTCTTTAAAAATAAATAAACCTCCTTTTAAATCATTCCTCAAGCTCATCTCATTATTATGTATAATTTAGAAAATCCCAATTGTTAGAGTATTTATGGAAGAATGGAGCAAAAACAAAAATATAGGAAAGAAAAAGGAGCAACAGTCGTGGCTGCCTTGGCGACGTCGGCTAAAATATTTATATCTGTTTCAGCTTGGCCGCTTTATACAATTTCTATTTTGCGGGGAGTCCTAACAGTCCTAGCAGCAGTCCTGGGTAGTCCTGTGAGCCCACAAAACAGCAACCACCAGACACTCAATCCCTCCTGTGTGACGTTGTCTTCGATGTCTTCGTTTGCAATCAATGAAAGATTTATGACAATACATTGTGGAATCCTGGGGACTGGCGGGGTTGGTACTGGGCGGCACGGCAAAGTGTCCTGAAAAGGCACATATTGTGGCCAGGAATTTGTTTTTTATGTCACATCATTATTTTTATTATGACACTGCTGCCACCGAGCGGGCGGGCGGTCGGGCGGTTGGTCGGTCAGGTCTCACTTGTTATTGGAGAGTGATTAGTGACTGTGACTGACGAAAGCAACAATAGTTGCTTTCATCTAACAATGAAGTGGACCTTTTATTTTTAATAAAAAGGACCAAGTGACATTTTATATAAAAGGCTATTTATGATAGTTGATTTATTTACTAATTTATATATTTATGATATTTTTCCAAACAAGTTTTTTTGAATAAAAATAAGAGAGCAGTACAATATCACTCATACGTAGTGTTGTCTTTAGTTTCCCAACCTTAGAGGTTCACTCTAGATGACAATAAATAATCCCAAGATATATATACCATATATAATAGAAAGAGCTATGGAAATGGAGAGAATATTGGGTTACCTGGCATGTAAAAGTGAAAAATTGAAAAACTGAACGGAAAAAAAAAAGTGAAAAACGGAAATTGATTGAAAGTCAAAGGGAAAATGGCAGGGTCCTTTGGCTTTAGCATCTGCTTTTCCTGTGGATCGCAATCGATCAATTCAATTATCAACCCAAATGGATGTCCTGTATGTGCCTCTCTGAGTGTGTGTGTGTGTGTGCTGAAGGATAACTCCATTTTGGTCGCCTTTTGTCCTTCGGTAGCTGGTAGACATTGGATGTAAGTGGAAATTCTCAGTGCGTGTAAAATGCCTTTGCGTTGTATATGTTTTTTATTTTGTTTCATGTATATGGTACATACATACATACATGTTCTATATAGGATAGTATGGGTATATATGTATATAGCCACGCCCACTCACTTGCAAAAACAGGGAAAGAGTTGGACAACAATGAAATGCTTTTAGCCTGCGAACTGCGAAAACTGGGAAAACTGCGAAAAACTGAACTGAACTGAACTGAACTGAGCTGAGAGCGCCAAACGAAATTAAGTTAACAACAAAGTGAGGCAGCAAGCCGGCAAGGCGGCGAGGAAAAAGTTTTGTGTACTGTTTTTATTGAAAATTGAGTTAAAAAACTGAAAGTGTCGACAACGACAACGACGAGTACGTACGTTGAGGGGCCGACAACATCCTTGTGTCTCGTATGTGCAACTATTACTACCACTTGCCACTTACCAATACCGATACCAATATATGTATTTCCAACAAAACATCCAAACATTCAACTTTTAGCCAACTCATCTTTCTCGTCATCGTCCAGGACCTTAGGCCAAAGTCAATTGTCAAAGGGACCCCTCAGCTCTCTGAAATTGTTTACATAATTTCATAATAAAACATTACAAATTCCAAATACTATTAACTTGTACAGGTTAATGGACACAATTTATACACTGTGTTGCAGAAATTCAATTTTCAAATAGTTTCTAAAAGGTTTGAGGAAAATAATTAAAAATATAGCATGGGAATAAAAATAGGATTCGAACTATAGGCTAAGAAGTGACTTTATTCTTGTATTTTTATAATTAAGTATATATTAAACCAGGATCCAAACTCTATAAAATATCCCTTCAAAATAGCCCTAACTTTTGGTTTTTAAATACAAATATGTTCTTAATAATAATAACAATACACTTTTAAGACAAATTAGATTATGAATAAAACCTATGCTTCAAAAGTGACTTTAAATGTTTTATTTTAATTCCCTTTAATTATTAAATACTATACTTTCAAGGTTTATAAATTCTAAGCCCTGAAAATGTATTGAAAGTGGCCTAAGCTCTTTTATTTTAATTAATAACTATTTAAAAGCTTACTTTTAAAGAAAATCAGCTTGCGATTAAAATTTATGCCTTGAGCATAATTACAAATAATGATGCATGTTTTTGATATTTTCTTTGTAGAATATTTTTATAGCTATTGCAATCAAGACTCTAAATAATGTCACAAAAGTGGTCTTTAACTCTTTATTTTAAACATTTCCCTGCAAAGAATAAAGATCCTCAATAATTATTCAATAGCATGCTTTTAAGGGCACGACTCCCCCCCCATCGTGAAATAAACTTTCGAGACTTTGGAATGTCAATAAAAGTCGACGGGGACATATATCCGATTCCAAAATGGATTCCAAAATCAGCGCCGATCAATTCACGCACGCACACACCCGCATATTTAGGTGTATTTGTCTGCGTGAGCGTGTGCGTGTGCGCATAAAATTTATAAATTATTGAATCTATGAAAATATGAACATCACGTACGCACACAGCTCTCACAGCCTGTCTCTGTTCGTCCTTTTTGTGGCCAACTATATCACATTGCAGACGCAGGGAAGAGAACGAAAAAAAAAAAAAAAAATATATATATAGAAAACAGACTGAAGACAGAAGACAATCGCAGAGAACGAACTTAGAGTTATGCATAAAAATAGGGGGGCGGGTAGGCAGGGACGTGTTGTATGTGGGCGTGGCTGGAATATGCACAGAATTTCATTAAGGACTAGGACTTCTTCAAGGATTTGATGCTCTACTTAGTGGTATTATGGTTTTTCTTAGTTGGTTTTTAAGATAAATACTTTTTAAACTACCAGAGATATTAAATAATGAAACATATAGTAAATAAAACAAAATATTTGATTATTTTTTTAGGGGCCTACTATTTATTTTTTCAAGAAACTGCTTCAAGAACACTAGTTACATATACGATTCTCTAACACTAACAAATCCTATACCCTAATCCTATACCCTAGGGTACCTATTATATTTTATTTAAAATTTTCAAGTATACTACTATTTGGTAACCCCTTTTATTTCTCTTAGAGTATTACTAATTCGTTGAAAAAAAAACTATGTTATAAATAAGTTTGCGTATTGGTCGCGTTTGTTGTTTGCGAAAGTTTGCTCCTTCGACGTGTTTGCAGATAGATGGCTTAAAGGAGGAAAAAAAATAATGATAACCTGGAGTGAGGGATTAATAGCATTTGCAGATCAAAAACTTTTCTAATAATTTCTTTCTGATGAATTCCATTCCTCCATTCCACTCCCAAACCACCCCACCCAATCCCAGAAAATACAATTATTTATATTATATTATATTATTTTTTTTGTATTTTTATTTATGCTAGATGGAGATTGCTTCATTGGGCTCGTACGCGTTGTACAACAATTAAATAATAATAATTGGCATTTGGCAGTTTGTATGTTGGCATTTGATCAAAATCTTCAGTGGGGAGAACCGATGCAAACTACACGTCCAGCGGGACCGGTACCATCAGCTCTCAGTGTCTTTACCATTATCTGTAAATAATTTAATTAATTTTTATTTGGATTAAAATTTAAATTTTAAATATTACTTACCCTAGTTCATATCGTCATTTATCAGTGAAACAATTTGGCGAAACGAAAAAAAAAAAAAAAAATTCGGCTCCATTATGTTTTAGTAATAAATTGTAGGCAGAATTAGATGGATCGGGTAGTGGCTGTCATAAAATCCCATGAAAGCCAGGACCAAATTAAAATTCTGTAAAATAAAAAATAAATTATTAAATTAAATTATTATTATTATTTAAATTATTATTGTTATTATTTAAATTATTATTATTTTTTAAATTATTATTATTTTTTTTTTTTCATAACTTACGTTTTTATAATGCATAATCCTTCGATAAAAAACAATGCTCAATTGGGTAAAGAAAGCGTGCTACTTCCAGTATGGTATATCATCAAAATGGTAAATTGGTTTTTTGGGACAGGCAAGCGTGCTAGTATATTGTACATCAACGTACATCATCAAAGTGTATATAGTCATAGTTGTTAGTCCGGAAGAAATGCGGTACATCAGGGTTGAACATCAGGTTTGAAAATCCGGTTTGAACATCAGGTTTGAACATCATGGTTGAACATCATGGTTGAACATCAGGTGTGATTTATCGAAGGTGCAAGTGTGTGCAAACATAATTAAAGGTGAGTCAATAAAATCCTGAAAAGAAAAATAATATTTATTAGTTATTAGTTATTTGGTATGAAATAAATATTTATTGGTTTTGAAATTTATTTATTTTTGAATTTTTATTATTAATTATTTTTATTTTATATTTATATTTCCTACCCGTCCATTTCACTGAGAATTTAAATATTTTTTGATGAATTATTATTCATTGTCCGAAACGAGTTCTACTCCAGACGAGCTCTGGTGGCAAACTGATTATTTTTGGGCTCGTACGAAACCCTATACCTCAGATGTCAAGGCTAATGTGTTACTAGGCCTACTAGGACCTTGTTTTTGATGTAATTTTTGAATTGATTTTTTTTTTTTTGAATGTAATATAATTTTTATTTTAATATAATTGTGAAATTTTTATTATGAATTTATTTTTGAAAATATTTATTATGAAATTTATTTATTGAAATTTATTTATATTTCTCTTACCCATCCATTTCACTGAGAATTTGGATATTTTTGATGAATAACTATTCAATTTCCGAAACGAGTTCTACTCCAGACGAGCTCTGGTGGCAAACTGATTATTTTGGGGCTGGTACGGAACTCCATACCTCTGATAGCTCCCATTTGCCCATTTGACATTAAAGTCAAGGCTAATGCGATGCTATGGCCCACTAGGATAAATTTTGATATTATAATAATAATTATTTTTGAAATTTTTAATTCAATTTTATTATTTCAACTATTTATTTTTGATATTTTTAGTTTGAATTTATTTATCATTGAATTTTATTGAATTTCGGAATTTATTTATTTAATTTTGAAATTTATTTATTTATTTTTGAATATATTTATTGAATATTTCTTACCCGTCCATTTCACTGAGAATTTGGATATTTTTGATGAACAACTATTCAGTTTCCGAAAGCAGTTCTACTCCAGACGAGCTCTGGTGGCAAACTGAATTTTATAGGGCTCGTTCGAAAGTCCATACCACCGATAGCTCCCATTTGCTCGATGAAATTAAAGTCAAGGCTAAAGCGTTACTAGGCCTACTAGGACCTCGATAAGAAATATTTTTTATTTAAAGTTCCCTATTGAGATGAAAGGTCTATCGATAAACATTAGGCCCGCATTTTTTGAAATGCATAACAAATAAGCGTTTTTATCAATTAAATTTTTATTCAAATATCCACTGGCTGTCTCGTTGCCTTTATCGATAAAACCTTAAACCTAAACAGTACATATGCTTACTATTAGATTACATTTAAATACTCAATCCTAAATTTGAACTAAGCTTAAATATAAAATATATGCTAATAAGAATATTGAACGGTATTTTGAAGGGTACAGCCCAGAAAATTTGACAAAAAATCTTTAAAATATTTTGTTCCCAGATTTTGATGCAGATTCATGGAGAATCGATCCACAAATCGTTTAAGATATTCTGTTCAAGAATCGGATGAATATTTCCTAAGATATGGCCTTGGCAGTGGGTCATATGGGGCTCCCCATGCATACTGCACATTTTGAAGGGGACCGCCCAGAAAATTTGACAAAAAATCTTAAAATATTTTGTTCCCAGATTTTGATGCAGATTTATGGAGAATCGATCCACAAATCGTTTAAGGTATTCCGTTCAAGAATCGGATGAATATTTCCTAAGATATGGCCTTCGCAGTGGGTCATATGGGGCTCCCCATGCTTTCTGCACATTTTGAAGGGGACGGCCCAGAAAATTTGTCAAAAAATCTTAAAAATATTTTGTTCCCAGATTTTGATGCAGATTTATGAAGAATCGATCCACAAATCGTTTAAGGTATTCCGTTCAAGAATCGGATGAATGTTTCCTAAGATATGGCCTTCGCAGTGGGTCATATGGGGCTCCCCATGCATTCTGCACATTTTGAAGGGGACAGCCCAGAAAATTTGACATAAAATCTTAAACATATTTTTTTCCAGATTTTCATGCAGATTTATGAAGAATCGATCCACAAATCGTTTAAGGTATTCCTTTCATGAATCGGATGAATATTTCCTAAGATATGGCCTTCGCAGTGGGTCATATGGGACTCCCCATGCATTTTGCACATTTTGAAGGGGACAGCCCAGAAAATTTGACAAAAAATCTTTAAAATATTTTATTCCCAGATTTTGATGCAGATTTATGGAGAATCGATCCACAAATCGTTTAAGGTATTCCGTTCATGAATCGGATGAATATTTCCTAAGATATGGCCTTCGCAGTGGGTCATATGGGACTCCCCATGCATTTTGCACATTTTGAAGGGGACAGCCCAGAAAATTTGACAAAAAATCTTTAAAATATTTTATTCCCAGATTTTGATGCAGATTTATGGAGAATCGATCCACAAATCGTTTAAGGTATTCCGTTCAAGAATCGGATGAATGTTTCCTAAGATATGGCCTTCGCAGTGGGTCATATGGGGCTCCCCATGCATTCTGCACATTTTGAAGGGGACGGCCCAGAAAATTTGACAAAAAATCTTAAACATATTTTTTTCCAGATTTTCATGCAGATTTATGAAGAATCGATCCACAAATCGTTTAAGGTATTCCGTTCATGAATCGGATGAATATTTCCTAAGATATGGCCTTCGCAGTGGGTCATATGGGACTCCCCATGCATACTGCACATTTTGAAGGGGACAGCCCAGAAAATTTGGCAAAAAATCTTAAAAATATTTTGTTCCCAGATTTTGATGCAGATTTATGAAGAATCGATCCACAAATCGTTTAAGGTATTCCGTTCAAGAATCGGATGAATATTTCCTAAGATATGGCCTTCGCAGTGGCTCATATGGGGCTCCCCATGCATTCTGCACATTTTGAAGGGGACAGCCCAGAAAATTTGACAAAAAATCTTTAAAATATTTTGTTCCCAGATTTTGATGCAGATTTATGGAGAATCGATCCACAAATCGTTTAAGGTATTCCGTTCAAGAATCGGATGAATATTTCCTAAGATATGGCCTTCGCAGTGGGTCATATGGGGCTCCCCATGCATTCTGCACATTTTGAAGGGGACAGACCAGAAAATTTTTTTAAAAATCCTAAAAAAATGTTGTTCCCAGATTTTGATGCAGATTTGTGGAAAAGAAATCGAAGGTGTAACTTTCAGCACGAGGGGCCCTGAAAGCCTTTCGTCGGGGGGGCCCAGTGGGCAAGCGCGCCTTTGCCCACCTGTTAAATCCGCCACTGCACAGCGATCTCTGTTTTCGATGCATTCCAAAAAAAAAGGGGAAAAACGTCATTTCCTGGTCATGACAATTTCGAATCCTTTGGTCATCGGAAAATAAAACAAAAGAAGAAATTTCAATCTTTATAAATGTCGCAATGGCACAAACCAAAAAAAAACTAGTAGATAAAAACTAGGGCTTTCCATAAAACAGAGACTTTTAAAAATAAAATTCGAATATTTCTCTAGTTTCAAAGATTGCAAGAGGTTTTGTAAAATTTTAGAGGTAAGAGGGTAAAATAGTAGAAATTGGAAATTTGTATTTATACCATTGTCTGTATGGAATCTGAGTGCCTTTAGTTGGCTTTGAAATAGTGAGCTGTCAACTTAAACTCAGGCTTATTCGAAATTATTATTACAGAGGTTATATAGTAACACAGCAAAAATAATACCGATTGGAAAAAAATACCAAAAAACTAATGATACTATAATTTAAAAAAAATAATCAAAAGAAGAATAACTTGAAAAAGATCTAACCGGTAGATAGAATCAATATAGATGGCCAGCTTACAGATCATAGGACAACCCCCTAAAGTGATCCACACCTACCAGGTGATTCGAATCGGAAGCGATGAGAACGATAAGACTTTAACTTATTGTATTGAAGATAAGGTAACACTATTCTTTCGATAACTATCGAAGGTTATAATTGTAGTTTTTTTTTTAAAGTCCGTAGACAAGTTGCATGCCACATTGACGCGCTACGAGAAAGGACTGTATCTGGTTAACGAGAGCCGCCACGGCAGTGTGACTTTGAATGGCAGGAAGGTCGGAGGTCCTGTCCATATCACCTATCGGGATACTTATCATGGTTGTTGCCGACTCCACTTTGGTCACGTTGAAGCCCTTCTTCTTGTCTCCGGCAGCCTGAATGGCTAGCCTCCGACTCTTCGCCGCCAAGGATACCCAACCAATCCCCAATCACTCACCACATGTATAACCTATTCCCATTTACTTCCAATACCATTCCAATCATTTTGGCTAGAGAATTATGTTTTTAAATCGTTCGTTATTGTTTGCTCAAGATTATATTCAAAAGATGGACAAATTAATTCCTAAACACTAGGATGTTAAATAAAACTGTTTAGAGGACATGTTCAAGTTTATTTCGATTCCGATGTCCATGTCGATGTCCTTCACCCGATTATCCACTAATGCGAACTGCAAGCGGATAACTTGCGAACATGAATTATGCACATTTACTTTCCAGCCAGTCTGTTTGAGCTGCACACGCCGGCTAACCGAGCATCTTGTCCTGCCCAGGTCCTGCCGAGATCCTGACGAGGTCCTTTCTCCCCTTTAACGCTCTACGCAGCTACTGGCCCTGCCATATTATTCCGCTGTGCGTGTTTGCATTTTCCTCGTCCTTGCACACTTACGGATGGGTTTTTAGGAGTGAGTAGGGGGTTTCATTATCTAATAAATATATATACATATTTTTATTAATATTTATTTATACAAAAGTGTGGAGTATAAAAGTAAAGCTTGAAAAATTCTTTAAAATCTAGATTCTAGATCATTTCAGTATCGTATTAAAAACATCTTAAGGAGATGAAGTTCTTCTGACGAAGGAACATGCAACGCCTAAGATACCCTCTTACAACTTTGGTGACAGAAGAAATATAATGTACAAATATACAAAAAATATATATACAATATAAAAGTGTGTATACATTAAATATTTATACAAAAACAAAATTAAAAATAAAAATATTAACAGGATTCATGTTAAATGGTTGTTTTCGTCTATTTAAGGATAATTGTTTTTAATGCAGATCACTTTGTAATCAAATAAAAAATCCTCTTAAAACGCTAAAACGATAAACGACAAAGGCACAGGCAAGGCCTTAAAAACCTGACATTAACTTTGGTGACGAAAGAAATACAAAAACAATCAACAAATATTAGAATAAAAAAATTGTAGAACATTGTAGAATGGGTAATGGTTCAAGGGCAAGGATTCAGCATTCTCGTCCTTTTGCATTTCTCTCATTTGGATTTTTCCTTTATATTTCAAACAAATTTAATTAATAAAAAACCAACCTTTTGATGATATAAAATTCAAGTGACGAATTTCCATTCAAAAACTCTGAATTTTGAACTTCCCTCAAAATTCACTAAACCCTGAATAAAAACTAAAATGGAAAACTGCATCACCTCTTAATATGACCTCTGCTGTATATCCGTAATCCATTTAATTCAACCAAGCGACCATGCCAGCTGCGTGTGTGTGAGTGCGCGCGCCTTCGGTATTATCAACTCATAAATATTTATTGAATTTTAAGAAATTTTCAAAAATGGCTACACCAGTAGCCATACAAACACACACACAGAAGCATATGTATGTATATGTACATATAGGACGAATCCCCAGGACGAAAAACAGAAGGAGTAACAGGATGACTCAATCTGCGAGGCCAACCGATTACTTGTTGTCCTGCCAACGTATCCTGTCATCGATTTCGATTGCCTTGCATTCGCTTCCTTGACTTTCTTGGAAAAACTCACTTGGAACAGCCACCGACCATCGTCCACTGACCATTTTTCCCCACTAGCGCAAGGCAAGGATTCAGGACTCTCGTCCTTTTGCATTTCTCTTATTTGGATTATAATTTTTTTCCATTTCACATGTGAGCGCATTCCTCCTTGGTGGTCACTTGTCAATTTCCATTTTCATTTCATCAGTGGATGGAAAGAGAGATGGCGAGAAAGCCAAAGAGTGAGACGGGGATAATCCCAAATGGAACAGCTAGAAAGAGAGAGGCTGAAACAAAGGACAGAGACAGGAAGTTCAAGTTAGACAAGGTCATCGATTTTGAGAAAGTTTTATGGAAATCAAGTTTAAATTGAAATTCCAATAATAATATCTTAAGGGCGAATATAGGAAGGAATATACAAATAATCCTTGGATTCCAATTTCCAGTTTCCAGCAGGATATAACTCAGTTTTCCACTGAAATCCTTGATGACTCGATTTCCACCGAAAACTCGAAACCCATTTTCCATTTGGACCAGGACACATGGTAAATGCAATTTGGAGGCACCTGCCTGCAATCTGGATGCTGGCTCTCATCCCTTGGCTTCACGGCACCTTTGACCCTGTACCCCCTTATCCTGTATTGCCTATACTCCCTCTTAACCCTCTTGTACCTCTGTACCTCTATACCGTTTCCCCCCTTGCAATCGACGAGAGAGTTTCCTGGGAAAGCGAAGCTTTTCCAATTTTAATCGCATCAAATAGTCACTTAAGCGCTAACTGCCCTCATGGTCCCGCCCACTTTTCATCAAGTGGGCGCAGGAGCTGCTCACTCGGATGTTTTCCAATCAAATTCACCTGGAAAACTGAATAAAGTTCACTTGCCCAGTCACTGATGTTTAATCAAATATTGAAAAGTGTCTTTCTCTCTCATTTTTAAAAGCTTTCTTCTTTAAATTTTTTAGATCTTAAGTTAAATTATTTTATCTTAAAGATTTAAATATAATCATAGGAGAACCAATATAGATTTTAGTCTTTTTGAAGATCAAAGATCTATTTATCGGTAATTACTTTCTAGATCTGCAAATGGTATGCATTTTAGGTTAGAAAACTTTGACTACAATCATGTTTAAAAGGCTTAACCTATTTTAAGGTTCTAAGATAATTAAGATATTAAGCCTAAAAGTGTTGAAAAATTAAACATTTTTTTAAATCTAAATTTTTAAAAATTATATGAAATATTTCTTAAAAAAGTTTACATTTTTCTACAATTTTTTTACCAGCTCTAAGCTTAAATGCAAAATCAACTTGTTGGATTTGTCAAGGGAATGGGTGTAGGATGCCACAGAGGAGGGGAGGTTTTAGGGGCCTGGTATCATCATTGAGGCGGTGGGGGAGTGGCTGGCTGGGTGGGTGGGTGGTGGCTAGCCTACGTTGCCATCACGTTCTATGGCAGTTGGAAAATCGTTTCGTGTTCGAATCTTATTAGTGGTTTATAATTACAATTGTATACAGACCAATTACGTTAGGAGATGAACTGAAGCGGAGGGTTAACAGGGGTCGGGGGTGCTTTTAATAAGGGGGCGGTGGTACAGGTGTACGTGTGAGTGGGTGTGGGTGTGTATCAGTATGTGTGTGGCTAATTAACCACCATCGGAACTGGCCGTTAAGTGCTCTGTGTGTGGCTGTATGTGTGTGTCTGTGCGAAACTCAAGTATCACGATAATGATGTTCATTTCGTAAGCAAATGTCATAACACAACCCACACACACACACTAATAGAAACTGATATTTATGCATATGTATTTGTGCAGAAGACAAAGACGCCATTTGACCAACACCCCCTCCCCCCTTACTCGCCTCTCAAGTTGGACCCCACCACCACCCTTCTCTGTTGGCCTGGCCAAGTGCGCTTTGTAATTGAATCCACGTCTGAAATCTGTCTGTGGTCGATAATTTCATTTCGGGAACCATTTTGAATACAAATTTATCGCCAAGAACACACCCGTCGTGACACGTTCCCCGACAACCGCAACACGATATCCTGATATCCTGATTCAGGACTTGAGACAAAGTCCAACTCCCAACAGCCAAGAGTGCCGGCCGAGTGGGAATACTTTCCGGTATAATCCATGGCAGTCATCAGACATCAGCCTCGTGGGCTCTACTAATTGGAATAGTTGCTTGTGGCATCTTTGCTTCCAATATTAATCGATAGTGTGGTTAAATAAACTAAAGAAATGATAACCAAGGGTTTTTGAAATCATACAATAAGGATAATGTATTTTAAAAGATTCTAGAGAAAAGGTAAAAACTAGGTAATGATATTAAAATCTAGAACTTGAACTATAAATTAGGATTACTGTCAGAAATCTTATCAAAAATTATCACTACGGACGGTAGTCCACGAGGTGACGTACCGCAAGCCTCAACGCGAGTTGGAAATGTGTATAGTTTTGTGATTAATACAATTTCTGTATTTTAAAAGACGGATTAGGAAGAAAACATTTTTATTTTCTTGAAAAAATATACAGAAATACATATTAGAGGTACTTAGAGGTACTATAAGAGATCCTAAAAAAAATTAAGCCAAAGTATGTCAATAATTTTAAAACCATATACAACAAAAGAACTCCGAAAAAGTAACTGTCTTCTACAGCCATAAAGTTAACCATAAACTTTGAAAATCAGGATAAGAATTCTCAAAGAGAGTCCTTAAGAGTAAAGTATCCTATAAAGGACATTAAAAAAAAGCAAAAGAGAGAGAAAGGCTCAATAAAATTTATTGTAAGCCCAAACAATACTGACGGTAATCAAAAGCCTTTTTGATATATGAGGAGTCACTCTTATAATGAAAGGTTAGTGTCCTGGCTGAAGGATAATGAAAAGATATTTAAGCAAGAAAACCAGAAAATAATTATAGACTTATTCTAAATTTCTTAGTAAATCTTTAAAATTTAAAAAATTAATTTATAAAAATATAAAAAAATATATATTTAGCTTAAAATTCCTTATAACTTAACTGTTATACAGAATTTAAGAGAAGTCCATAGATCTCTTAGCAGTTATTATAGCTCTTAATGTAATGCTCCCGCTCGTTTACTGTTATCCTTGTTCTCTCTTTAGAGCCTTAAATGCTCTCCAAACTGTTATCCTGGCCGAGGTCCTGTTAGCAGTTACATAACCATTAAGGGAAACCACTCGAATCCAAATTTCTGAGGCGAGAGAGCGCCGAAGGATAACCAATTATGGCCAAAAAAGGCGGAAGCTGCTTTGCTTTTATTGAAACAAAAAAAAGTCTGCGAAATGTATATTTTAATATGCGATATAAAATATATAAAAATTTTATATAAATAATTATATAAATTCCTCATTAAATTAGCTTTCGAATGAAAAATTAAATAGGAATATAAGACTTGGGCAAAAATTGGGGTGAAAAATGGATATCGCTGGCTAAAACTTGTTGAATCTTATTCGTCAGGATATGCTGGCAAGCAAATTTTCGCCTGGAAATTCAATATCTTAACTACACAATGTGTGTGTGTGTGGTGTGCGTTGGTAGGGGGATGTGAGAATGTGTGTGTTTGCCTGCCTGAGCGCCTAA